GAACAGACGCAGTAATCCTGCTGATGTGGCCTCCACCTGGTGAGATGCGCGGTGCAATTACGTCGACTTCCTTCGATCTAAAAAGAGTCATTTGACGCCAGAGAGTCAACGCGCAACGCTGCGATCCTCGAGCGCTGTGGCGTTCGCTGGGTAAACTAATGTGAAGAGGTCATACAGATCTTTCGGGTGACGTAAACGTGGAGGAATTCCATGCGGTTTTTGAAAACAAAATTTCTGCTGTGCGAGCGTCGTCAGTTTGATGCTCCGTCGGCAACGTTTGGGCCGTGCCCGTTTGACTTCGACTGCTTGCTCCAAGAATTCACTTGCGTCACAGCAACTAACGATATCATCCCTGCATTGCGCGCGCTGCCTAATAAGAAGTGTGCCAGCGATCCGCTGCCGACGTCATTACTAAAGGAGAATGCCATCAACCTAGCACCTTTTTTGGTCGAACTTGTCAAACGCTGCCTCACTGACGTGTTGTTCCAGAGAACTTCAAATCGGCTTACATGATTCTTCTACTGAAAAAATCAAACCTTGACGCGTTGTGGCCCAACAGCTGAACAACCATCTTCAGCAGTCCGGTCTCATGCCTCGCCTCCTGTCTGCATACCGCCATCTCCACTCGACGGAAACCGCTGTGCTGCAGATGCATACAGACATGTCATTCATGTCATTTGCGAGCAGTAGACCGCGGCGACATTGTGGCACTAGCTCTACTCAACCTGTTGGCCGCATTAGACACGATCAACCACCCCACTTTATTGCGTCTACTTGACGTACGGTACTATCATTCGGCCTGCGCGGCACAGTGCTGCGGTGGTTCGAGTCCTATTTCAGCAATAGCTTCCAATGCGTTCGACGCGGGAACTCTTCTTCTACGGCGTTGTTCACTTGCGGCGTATAAATGGGATCAGACCTCGTCCCGATCCTTTTCCTGTTATATACTGTGGACGTATTGCAAATAATTGATTAACATTGTTTGAATCCGCATTTATTCGCCGACGACATAGAATTTATGGTTACTGGGCACCGGCTGACACTGCAGCGTTGCAGGGCTGGATGTCTGTCTGCATGGACGCCGTCTCAGACTGGGTGCTCTCCAACAGGCTCCAGCTCAATGCATTAAAAACCGACTTAATTTTGTTTGCGACTGCTCGGCGCCAGCATCAGCTTCCGGCCAACTAAGTTCGCGTGGGCACGTGTTCATCATGCCTGCGTCTTCGGTTCGCAGCCTCGGCATTCTGCTGGACTCAGAACTTTTTATTAAAAATCAGATTGCCAAAGTCATCACCGCTTTTTCGGTGGTCTGCGACGAATACGTAGCGTCAGCCGCTGTCTCTCGGGGCCTGTCCTCGAGGCCCTTGTGGTGGCGCTTTATCTGACCAGATTGGACTATGATAATGCCACACTCTATGGACATTACTGAAATCCGTAATGTAAGCTCCTGCGCGACTCATGTGCAATAAACGAAAATTCAACCACGTGACGCCGATTTTAACTGGCTGCGCATGCAGCAGCGCACGCATTTCAAGGTCGGTGTTCTGACGTTCCAAGGTCCTCACGGTCTGGCGCCTCTTTATCTCACGGAATTATATATGTCTGCAGCGCGTGTCGGATCTGCCTTCTAGAAGACGACTGCGTTCGTCATCAACTGCGAACTTCGTCGTCGTACCATCTACACGTCTATCTTGCGTCGGCGACAGAGCGTTCCCAGTCGTTGCCTCCAGAACCTGGAACAGTCTACCGGCTCTCGTAAAATCGGCTCCTTCGTTGCAGGTGTTTCGTCTACGCCTAAAGACGGAACTATTACGTAGAGCCTATGAATCTAGTGTTTATTCATTTTCACCCGTGCTCATTTTTATCGTACTTACTAATTTTTTGCTTGCAATTAAACTTATGTGTAACGTACCTTCGAAGTTCGTTTGAATCAGACGCCATGATAACTGCGTCGTAGAATATTAATAAAGCGTCATCGATTTACAGTTGGGCTTCAGGTGGTTCAATTTTTGCTGGTTCAATTGTGGCGAGTGAATTGAATTGATTTCGGTGGTTCAATTTCAAGCAGTTCGCTGTGCAGTACCATCCTCAATCCTTACATCATTATGCCAACTTCTGGACGTCCTCAACCATGGGCACGCTGATGGGCCGACTTCGTTGTCAACCGCCCTAAAGCCGTGTATAGGCAGGTCGCCATTGCGAGGCCGGAAGGTAACATTGAACTTGAACTTGACCAACGTGCATCTGCCCTCGTTTCAGCAATGCTGTTGTTAAATGCAGTTGCTTGCTACTTGCTGAGGGTAGTGATGAATAAACGGACAATACGGGATCGGGCTATAAAACACATCCAATCGTCTAATGAATGCCCCAGGGGTGAACTCCTCGCCCCCCTCTTAGCTCTTTCGCCAAGGCATTGAACGNAAAAATGACATTTACTTGTTCGTCTGGGATCGCAGTTAGTGTTTTAGCTTCATGTCATTTAGGCATTAGAAGTTGTCTCGCATTTTGGGGAATATTTCTTCCTTGTCATATTTTCCCTTGTAGGACAAGACCTTACCTCATGTATAATTGTACATGCAAATACTTCGTATGTACTGCACATATTTGTTTCTGTTTGTAAATAAGAGAATGCATGAGTGGGCGTTGAGAAATTTTATCTTGTTCCTATTTCTCTGATAAGGAAACAACGCTTAAAATTTCTGTATTATAGTATGATTATAATAATTTTAATTAAATTGAGATCAGCACGGGGAAAGATGTATAAATTTCTGCCAGAAATTGATTGAAGTTCGATAGTATGTTTCAAAGCTAACAGAATACGAAAGCTTGAGCGAAACTAAGGCATATACATATAAGTGATCGTATAAAGTTCAACTTTTATTTTTACGCTGCTTGTATTTTTAAAACAAGTTTTACTGTATAAGTGTTCCGTATATATGCACTACAAATATTAATTTTTAAATACGGCCTTCATATAAAATGTGTTTATTATTTCTCCTGGTGATTGAAAAGCATCTTTACTAGAATGCGTCGTATGTCAATATTTCTCTATTCAGAGATTACATAGTCCGTTATCCGTTGCTCCGGACATCCATTTACAGCGTCTGTGACGATATTCTAGTACAGTCGTGTTATTCCTATCTGTTATCTCGCGTCAAACCGGCCGAGATAACAATTTCGACATTTCCTGTAGCTATTCTTGCATCATCAACAGAGTTATCTTCGAAAATACCTGAAACATTTCGGGGAATCCGCACATTGACGACATCATAATAACCTTCAAGCTGACATGTGAATTTTTATTGAAATTTTGGCCGTATTTCGGCCACAGTTTGTCAGTTAAATTTTGGTGATCAACTGCTAATCTAAGTTGCCTTGATAAGATTATCTTGTTCCTATTTCTCTGATAAGGAAACAACGCTTAAAATTTCTGTATTATAGTATGATTATAATATTTTAATTAAATTGAGATCAGCACAGGGAAAGGTGTATCAATTTCTCCTAGAAATTGATTGAAGTTCGAAGGGTTTTCTCAGATATATATATATATATAAATATTTCATTCTTTAACTTCTATGAATTTCTAATTGTCTATATAGTATGTTTCAAAGCTAATAGAATTCGAAAGCTTGAGCGCAACTAAGGCATATATAAGTGCTGACGATCACAGCACGTTGCATAACATTCATATAGACTCAATGCAAGAAGACATGATCGTATCAACTTTTATTTTTAAGCTGCTTGTATTTTTAAAACAAGTTTTACTTACAAGTGTTCCCGTATATATGTACTACAAATATTGATTTTTTTAAATACGGCATCATAAATATGTGTTTATTATTTCTCTTGATGATTGACCCAGTTAAAATTTAGGGCAGGGAATAGAGTAGGCCGTCGCCGGCTGCAGAGCCGACGTAGAGACGCGACAGAGCAGCGATAGAGCAGAAATGTCCGCTTTAGAGACGATATCGCCAGCCGCGTATCAGCGCTAATTAGCTTCTGAGTACCTGCCCAGGTGTGCTCTGTCCNCTGGTGATTGAAAAGCATCTTTACTAGAATGCGTCGTATGTCAATATTTCTCTATTCAGAGATTACATAGTCCGTTATCCGTTGCTCCGGACATCCATTTACAGCGTCTGTGACGATATTCTAGTACAGTCGTGTTATTCCTATCTGTTATCTCGCGTCAAACCGGCCGAGATAACAATTTCGACATTTCCTGTAGCTATTCTTGCATCATCAACAGAGTTATCTTCGAAAATACCTGAAACATTTCGGGGAATCCGCACATTGACGACATCATAATAACCTTCAAGCTGACATCATGTGAATTTTTATTGAAATTTTGGTCGTATTTCGGCCACAGTTTGTCAGCCAAATTTTGGTGATCAACTGCTAATCTAAGTTGCCTTGATAAGAAGAAATGCTGGGGTTGGCGACATGGGTAGAGTATGGACACACCTTGCCAGGAATATAGACGAAATAAGTGATAGTTAACGTACATTGGTGTTAGTATTTTATTGGTGTTACATTAGTGCATGTACGACAAAATATTTGACGACTTAATAGCCTGGGTTATCGACGCCTTCGCGCAGCATCGGTTCTGATTAAATGAACTGTAGGCAAAAATATCGCGCTGGCTTTCAAGCAGTCCGTAAGTTTACCTCGAGTGACCTTACAGCAGGCATTAAATTCGATTTAAATACTATTTAGTTACATGCCTTTCTGTGATCAGTAGTTGCGTAGTGACTAGCTGAATTTTTCTACTTATAAATTTTCCTCGTTTGCACATCAAACAATATTTTGACTCATATGCGCGCTTGTCCAGTTAACAATTAAGTTCACAATGGGAATTCTTTGCGCAGCGCGAATTATATTTCATTCAATTCAATAAATATGCTAGGGTTACATCTATGTTTAATTGGTACACATCGCATTTTCGGTGTACAAGATGTACGCTAATAAGCTACCTGATTAACCTTTAAATTTCTCTGTTACAGGTTTCCAAACACCTGCCCAAGTGATGGAAATCAACTCTATTAGCAATACGGTGGTCAAAAAAGGTGAGTACAAATATGTCATGTGATACCAAAACATTTTTGATCGCATGCTATTTTTTTATTGCATCCCGTATTATTAATTCAGTGAAGCGAATGCAAATTGTCGAAGCTATTTAAATAGTTTATAAGAACAGAAGACAGATCTCCCTTCCAGTTCATTAGTAAAATCAACTTGTGCTGAATCTCGTCAAAATAAAAAAAAAATTACACGTCCACATGACCTAGAGTGACCAAAGGGTTTTCTTGTAAGCGCAGAATGCTCTAAATTAAATTCCAAAAGTAACTTCGATCTTTATCTATGTTCATTTATATCAGCATAGAATTTAATACGAACTTGATTCACAGCTATTTTTACCTCATGCTTTTGTACTGCATGAACCCACGCCCACTCCGTCCACGTGCTGCAAGAGGACTTACGCAATTGTGAGCTCGGGTTACATTAATCTTATTGGTTGACTTAGTTTGAACTCTGAATTGTGATTGGTTGATGCATTTGCTCGTGGAATTACAATGCTTGGTTCTGCCCTATTGCCAGCTGACTAAATAAGTACACCCAACTTGCTCTAGAGATAGGGCGTTTTAAGTGAATATTTTTCGTGATAAAGCTTTTTTAGAGACTTGTTAGTGTTCATAAGTCAGCAGAACTGAAATAGAAATGTTTTCGGTTATTTTCCTATGAAAAGACGTCATCGTAACGTCATGCTTACGTTTCTCATATTTATTTGCGGTCTGCATGCGTCAAGCTGACTCCTGGTATTTAATGATGACCCGGCAACCTTCAAATTGCGTCGCGGACGGCGAACCGCTGCTGTTGGTGCTGGTGCTGCTGCTGGTGCTGGTGCTGCTGCTGGTGATGGTGCTGATGCTGGTGGTTCTGCTGGTGATGGTGCCGATGCTGGTGGTTCTGCTGATGCTGTTGCTTCTGCTGATGCTGGTGATGGGGGGTCCTGCTGATGCTGGTGCTGGTGGTTCTGCTGATGCTGGTGCTGGTGGTTCTGCTGATGCTGGTGATGGGGGGTTCTGCTGATGCTGGTGATGGTGGTTCTGCTGATGCTGGTGATGGTGCTGTTGCTGCTAGTGCTGCTGCAGGTGCTGCCGCTGTTGTGCCAACGGGCTAAGTACTGTAAATACACCTAAAGTTTTTAAGATGTGTATGAGCTGCTCGAATAACAAATTACAATGATGCATCTTTTGTCACATGCCGATGTGTGTAGCTGCTCTTGTTGGTTGCTACATGTCTCATGTCGTGTTGTGTTTACCAATGACATCCGTAGTCGAGGCATCTCATGTACGCTAAAATGGTGCTGACGTCACTCAGGATCGAGGCAGGCGTATAAACGGGAAATTCCTTTTACATTGATTTAACCCCGGCATGCTAATAAATGCACCTTATCTTTTGATGGACAAATAATATTTACTTAACGACTTTCATTCGCCGAAACATGATGCAGGTGCCATTTTCTAATGCCGAAGTAACCATAGATACAAGACCAATTAAGTGCTCGCTGGTTGCCGTTTTTTAGTGGCGTGCTCTGCCCTGCATGGATATTATGCTTAATCTTGCCCCCTCGTGGCATACCTGAGAGTGCAACGGTGTCTAGCGAGCTCTGGGTGTTTCATTTATTGCTCGTTCTTTTACTTGAGGCTCTCATAAAGATGGCCGCCGTATATTTGAACAATAAGCATTTTAGCCTATGTTGAACTTCCAGATGAAGATTCTAGTTATTGGTTAACAATTTCGACGTGCATTATGCAACGAAACTGGCCACTCTTGAGTTTTTCCGTAGATTTTAATGCATACGTTGATCATAACTGTTAAAATATGAATAAAATACAAAACAGCAGTTCGTTGATAGTATTGTGTGTGTTTTAAAGCTGTTATACCGGTATATATGTGCGAGGAATGATCTTAATTATCTTGTGTAATATAAACATATGCCAATTTTGTTGTAAATGCCAAATTCGGTGGAATATTGTTGCATGATTTGTACAATGCTATCTCCTATGGTGAAATGTTATGAATACTATGGAATAGACTATTGTTTCTGTCCAATTTTCATTTGGTTCGATCATTTGAATTTTCGTCGAATTTTTGCAAGTTGTTACCAAGCATAACGATACAAGGCACAAGCGAAGTGATTCATGCAAGCAACACATTTTCTACAGGTACATAACTCGTCGTCAATGCTTTTTATACCATATAAGCCTGGTAACGAGAGTTCTCAGGTCAACCTATTGTCTACAGATACATTTACCGTTGTTGGTGCTAGTCGTATCTGAATGCATGACTATACAGTATATAATGTTCAGTAGACAACAGGTTCGATGGCTCAGCTGCTCGAGACGTCAAGATCTGTATTTTGTGTAACAGCCGATGCAGCTCCTTTATTTTGACAACTGTTTCCTTATCACCTACATGCACCATATCATGTCCAGGTAAATCTTACAACAGCGTTTGTTGCTGCCATCTCCACTAGGGGAGGCAATGCATTTTAATGGCATTCAGCCTTTAGAATTCGACTGCTTAATGTTTGCAATTTTGCACCATTATTTTCGAGTAAAATCGAAGTACATGCCCGAAATGTTTTTTTCTAGTGTTTGCGAAAGCTAGTAGATTGTAATACCATTAATCTAATGCGTAAATTAGAGTATATATCGATTTACCAATAATGTCGGATGATGTTAATACAAACGCTTGAAAAATGCGGTTGTCACTGACTTATATACGTTGCTGACAGTTGAGTAGGTATACTATTTTCGTCGCTGACACTTGATCGACATCTGTCAACGACGAGCCATTATTTCTGACGTCTTCTATTGAAATTTACGATCGATTTTTCGACTTGTGGAGGACTGCAAACGGAGGAATTGAGTGCGATGCAAATCAGGACGTACCCTTTGTAAAATTAGCAACTGTTTTCATTATGTTGAACGCATCAATCCTGTGTGTGTGACTGGCGTACGACTGCTGCTGGCAGGCTATGAGTAATGCATGTGTATCCCAAAAGTCGGTTCTGAATAATATATCATTGTTTATGTTCTTTAGTATATTCGATGTGATTTTGTTCTGTGATTGTCGAATATCGCAGTCAGATTTATCTGTTTCTGTCGGAAATCCCTGCCATTATTTCAGGTTTCATTCAATGAAGTATTACGTACTCTGTACCCTCAGGATGACATGGACACGTCAACCTTACATAATTTTTGATTTTCTGGCCTTTGGACACTTGTGTACTCTACTCTTATTAATCTGATCGGCCGACATCGGCCTACATCTACCATTGCATTAGTATGCGTCCTCTGAACATCAGTGTCGCACCGCGGTATCTGTCCTGCTCAAGTATGCCAGGAAGTGCAGTGTTAAATGCCTTGTAGATAGCAATTTTCTATTTGAGTTTGAACGGATCTATTTTCAATGATGAATTCAGAAACGCGTTTCAACAGTTTCTTGATCACGTGGCATTAATTGTTCCTGTAATGTGGTATGTCATGAGAGGAAAGTAGTCTCTAATGTATGGATTTGGTGAGTTAATGTCATATCGCTATAACTTTTAGTATTTTTATTTTGAGTTATTTCGATTTATTTTTTTTTATCTTGATACGAGTTAATAACGTTGTGTAGAGACAAGCCGAATTTAAGATGTACGGTATATATGCATCTCTGTACTTATTCAGCCTGCAACATAAATATTTAAGCAAAGATTAGATGAATTTTTTGTATTACAGAATTGAGTACTGATGAAAATATAATATGGAACGATTATATATCTATTCTACCGCAAACATTCAGTCCAAAGCTCACGTTTAAAGCATTTTGAGAAATCTATTATATTTATTCTGTAAAAATATTCTGTGAACCCTAAATCGTATCTAAATGTTATTTTGAACTCATTTGCTATCGACTGGCGTGAAAAGAAAAAAAATTGTTTTAATTTCCAAGGTGAGTATAGAGTTTCATCAAGGTGACCTCCTCTAAATGTGGCGTAACCCCAACGAACAATATTGTCACCGTTGTTCAGTTATTTTAATTTACTAATAATCTTTTTTTTAATTAATTCATTTATGGCCACATCCACCGTAAACTGTATGCGAAGACGTCGCATACACAATAACTACAAACATACACACACACAAACTATTGTGCACAATAGTTTGGATGCCCCTGGTTATCGGTCCATGTTTCACTAAGTTATTGTCCTTTTAACATACACACACATAAAATTTTTCTGTACTGTTTAAGCGTTTTTATTTTATTTTATCATATTTCGATATTATCCGAGATCTAACTCTTTACAGAATGCACATGCACAGTTTGTGTTTCGTAATCTTACAGCAAGTATTTGAGAAGACGTCAATGGGTACACCACATGAACCCTAAATTTGAACATGAACCCACAATTTTCTGAATTCCTTTTGCTGCTAGACGAACCTTCAAATAAAAATGTTTAAAAGGCACGTGTTCGTTATGCTAATGTTTATCTTATGCAAATGTATGCGGCTGGTCGTTTTGACCTCTGCAAGATCCACAGAATGCCATGAGTTGAGAGACCGTTAGTCAGGAGAGACATGGGGCACTTGATCGCGATTGCGATTAGTAAGATGTGGCTCAAAATTGACTTCATTTAAGACCTACGAACCTCGTCACGGACGCCGAGTTCGAAATCGTATAATGCTCTGGTGGACAAAGTTCTAATATAAACTGGTTCTTGAGGCCTATTATTTCGCATCTTAATATTTCCGGAGTAAAGGAAAACTCTGCAGATTGATGATAGTCACACTCTTTTAATATCATTTATACCATGTCACCTGCAGATTGATGCTATTCACACACTTTTAATATACCATTTACACCATGTCATTTCTTTTCTTTTTTCTTTCTCTTTTAATACCATGTAATTTTTCTACAAAATCTCGAATATCAGTCAGATATTCTCAGTACTCACTGTATGTGAGTGACAGAGAGCGCATTTTCTCGTCGACGAAAACGTGAAGTCGCGGACGGAAAGACGGACGGACAGACAGACGGACGGACGGACGGACATGGCTAGCATAATAGCGCATTTTTGCATTTTTCCATATATGAGAAAATCGCTAAAAACGAAACTACTTCCAGAATTTCCCTGTCAACGGTTGCCCATGGCTCCCTCCAACCTAAGATACACTGTATATACCTATATATCGTGTAGGACGCATGCAGTTGCTCCAGTAAATAATGGCTCCCCAGGCCAGATTGAGGCGGATCTTATTTGTCAAGGTCGTCAGCGATGAAGATCGTCTTTAACACGTTGAGTGCAGCTCTATATACCCACCGCGGTGTGTTGCAGGGGCTTTTTTCCGGACAAAGTTCGCGATTTAGTTTTTTTTAATTGCGTTGTTCGGCAAAAATTTATGATGTCGGTACTTCATTATTAAATTTTAAAAGTAGGAAAAAAATTGCAAATTTAATTTTTGAATCGGAACCTACAAATTTACTCGTAAAAATATTTAATTATTGGCCTTTTTTCCTTAAACCTGGCCGTTTTTAGGCCATCTGGTAACCCAGGTGGCGAGTGCCGCACTCAGCGTGCTGTTTAGCCTTCTGTATGCTGATGCATTAACCGTCTCCAATGTTATTCGTATCTAGCGGCATGCTATCGAGAGTTACTGTCTGTAGTTTACGGAGAATTCGCGACATTTCGTAGGAATATTTATATATACCAGTCCTATATATGCGGCATGGTATCGAGAGTTACTGTCTGTGGTTTATGGAGAATTCGCGACCTTTCGTGAGATTATATGTATATATACCAGTCCTAAGTATATTTATTCTTTGCGCTCAATGTCCTTCTTTGCGCTCAATTTCCTTCTTTGCGCTCAATTTCCTTCTTTGCGCTCAATTTCCTTTTCTTTGCGCTCAATTTCCTTCTTTGCGCCCAATTTCCTTTTCTTTGCGCTCAATTTCCTTCTTTGCGCCCAATTTCCTTCTTAGCGCTCAATTTACTTTCTTCTTTCCTCTGAATTCCCTTACTTATTTACCCTAAATTTACTTACAATATGATGCAATAAATGTCAAGTCGGAGCTCCAAGTAAAGATATTTCAGTTGACTATACTGTATACCGAATACATTTTTAGCCGTAGGCCAGGGAGGACGGTACAGCCAATATGGGGTTTTACGATTATTACCTGGTGTCTAATTTTAACACATGAAAATGAAGAAAACTTGAAAAAATATAACTCAGAGTATACTCACTGCAGTGAGAGACAGAGCGCAATTTCTCGTCCGTCTGTGACGTGAAGTCACGGACGAACATGACGAGCACAATAGCGCCTTTTTTCCATAAATGAGAAAATGCGCTAAAACACAAGCAAACACAAGAGAATATCGGATCGCAAAAACTGAAAGAAGGAGAACAATATTTTTCCTCATATTTGAAGCTAAAGCCTGTTTTCTTTTATTGGGAAGATTCAAGGTAAAGTAAAGTTATTATTGCCCTATGGTAGACTTAACAAGCTTACCAGGGTATGATTTTCTCCACCGCTAATATCAAAAGTTAATGTAGCAATGTAGCTTCTCCACCGCTAATATCAAAAGTTGATGTAGCTAAAAAAACGTGGTTTCCCAACAGTAATTAATTTATGCCATCATGCAAATCATCTCCGTATCTTTTATTTATACACAGAACTAGAAAATCGTACAAAGTTTTCGCTGGATATAGTGTAAAATTTCGCGTGTACTACAGAGTTTTCGCTGAAAATAGTGTAAAATTTCGCGTGTGCATTTGTCTCACATTCCCCTGATCATTGTGCAGAAGTGAACAGTTCCCCGTCATCTTCCCCTCGGGGCGTCTCAGAGCCCCTGGACGGGGACCAGCGCCCCCCCGACGCGGGGGGCGGCGTTGACCTGGCGACCCTCAGCCCCTGCGACTACACGGCTCGTCTGCTGCAGGTGACTGAACGCTCGTCTGCTGCAGGTGACTGAACGCTCGTCTGCTGCAGGTGACTGAACGCTCGATGACTGAACGCTCGTCTGCTACTAGTGACTTGACTGAACGCTCGTCTGCTGAAGATGACCTTCTATGGATGAACACATACTCGGAAGCCTTTGTCAAACCCAGACGAAGGTCACTTATGGAATCGTATTCGTACTCGTATCAATATTACAATATTTATACGATTATACGTTATAGCTTATAAATATTACTGGTACGTTGTACCTTAATGTTGCCTGCGCTTTTATATTAACTTATCATTCCCTAAAACAACTTATTACCTTCCACCCGAGAATTAGGTTTCTTATCATTTTTTTTTTTTTGTAAATTTGCTACCGAAAATTTTCTACTTTTTTCATTAATGCTTATGGATTATTGTGTTTTTTTTTTGGGTGCAGCTGAAAAGGGAGCAGCAGGTGCAGCAACAGCTGCTTCTCCACCAGTACCAGCAGCAGCAGCTGCAGCTGGCCGAGCAGCATGAAAAGGAACTTCAGAATCATATCAAAGTGAGTTTCACTACACTTCTTTAACAAGTCACTTGACTTCATATTGCTCAGACTTGATGAATTGATGTTTTATGTAACTCATAGGCATTACTTTCCGTTATTTGGACCACTAACCCCAATAATCTCGGCTAAATTTTACTATCTGCTTCTAATGTTGTGCTGCAATGCGAGGAATTTTACGCGGTCGTTACGTGTTCAATGCCGTGGATCGACCGCATCTGTAGGTGAAATATAGATGGTACTGTCATCCCACGTGGTATAAAGTTTATTAATGTAATATGGGGAGAGTACAGTCACTCATCGAGGTACGAAGTTTATTAATCTAATATGAGAAATTACATGTCATCAAAATTGCGTTACGAATTGTAAGCTTTAAACGAAATTGTTTGCCTGGAAACCGAACATGCCAGGAGGTCTTATGCTAAATCGAACGATCGTATAAGATTGGCTTCGAACTTTGAAGAAGTATAAAAATTTTTGTTAGTAATAAAGCAAAATAGTTACTCTCGGCTATTATATGGCCGTGTATTATCTGACTCGGCCTGAGTGTCTTTGCATGCTCTATTGTTCAACAAAATACTTTAGCATCATTCAGCATCGACCTTGCAGGCTGAATTGGGCTCTTGATGCACCATGGAACGAATTTGTAGATGTCCAGTGTTGTCAGGCGCATCAATCCTGCTCTTGCACGTCGTCTTTTGTTCGGCAGGGACCTGGGCCTATACTTTCAAAAAAAGTTAAAGAGATCGTAAGTTCATCAGCCAATCATTGACGGCCTTTCAAGCAAAAGCCACCAATCATAGACAAGAAAATAGAGCGTAAGTTCTTACGTTCACTTAGCGAGTTTTGTTCGGCAGGGACCTGGGTCCAGAATATCTCTGCATTCAATTTCGTCTGTACAACTGATATTTCAGAATCGTGTATTATTTCATTTATTATACGACATGCATTCCACGTAGACTAAAAATAGACGTAGGTTCCTTTGTCGAATTTGATTTATGGTGTCGTTCTATTTTTGTAGCATTCCTTTTTGATAGTGCAGTCGCTGTGCGTGCAGGTTTTAAGGTTTATTATAGTCCTAGCCACAAGCATTTTACCCATTTTAATTTTTTTACTCGTCGATGCAAGGCTACAGATGCTAACAAAATGGTTTATATAACGCCAAACAACTGCACGTGCTATTTTTTTCTAATCAATCTTACGTTCAGAATACAGAAGTGCGATCAGGAAATAAATAACTAAATTTATTTATTTATTTTAGTTTCATCTAAAAAAGTCGTGCAGTGTGTAAAAAATTGATTGTGAGATTGCAAGTATCAGCTCTAATCCCAAATTGGATACTGTCGGACATTAGTGCACCGTTTGCGTTTGTTGCGCTATTTTCTGAGTTATTCGTATCAAAAATACCATTATTCTGCACGACCGTGCTCGGAATTTTAAGCTAAGGTTTGTTCGTATCTTGAACTGTTTTGTTGCATCAATTGATTTATAAAGTAGAATGAAAATTTTAATCTTCAAGCGAAGAAGCGTCGAAGGGTTTGAACGAAGCAGAGCAAACCTATTTTATAATCAACCTATAAGAAGTTTGAAACAAATCGTATTACAAATTTAAATACTGAAGTAAATGAATATGTCAATTGTGTTACTTGCATAACAAATTGGAGATGGCAGTAACTCAGGAATTATCAGTGATATATATGCACAGACTTACCTTGTATAGATAATAAAATATAGTCTGCTTTTATTGTTATTATTATTTATTAACTCAAAAGAAGTCGCGGTTGTGACTGTAGATATTACGTTTCATACAATTCCTGTATTTATTCACTTCACAATATTACTAAGATTTGCTGATTTTATTTGAAATAAATTTCACGAGTTACTCGTGAGTAATGAAAACTCTCGGCAAATATACAGATCAATAGTGAACACGCGTTGTTTAATTTTTACTATGAATTTTGTAAAATTTTTGTTGTAATTAAAATTTTTCTTGTAATTAAAATTAAAATTTTTGTTAAAATTTTTTTGTTGTAATATAATAAAAGACTGTGATGCGATGCCACTTGTGTGGCGCATTTGTTATGCTCATTAAAATACTGAATAATATATTGAGCTTCATTAAACGGATATCTAATTTGTGGGGCCACATGTGAAGCGTAGCAATGATGTGCACTGAATATATACGACCTGTAATTAATGAGCTTCAATACATATGGAATTGAGGTTTTTGCTGATCTCCATGAAACAATAGAGCTTCTTTATATATAATAAATGCTGATGTTGTATACTGCTGCAGGTGCGGCGTATCCATGATACGTTCTTAATGCTCTATGAAACAATAAAGCTTCTTTATATATAATAAATACTGATGTTGTATACTGCTGCAGGTGCGGCGTATCCATGATACGCACTTAATGCTCCATGAAACAATAGAGCTTCTTTATACGTAATAAATGCTGATGTTGCGTATACTGCTGCAGGTGCGGCGTATCCTTGATACGCGCTTAAGATGCATCACGTTACCATGACGACAGCTCCTTATAGCCTAGTCGTGCGAGGCATTCAGTTCTTTGTTTTGTCCCTCCATTCATTCGCATATTCTTGCTTTTCTTTGCTTTTCTTCAACATTCATTTAAGTTCCATCATTTGCGTTTATGGTTAATGAATTTTTAACCTAAATTGGCATTGGCTCGCACTTTTCCTATGAATATCCTTTTCTAATCCTTATCCTATCCTTATCCTATCCTATGACTAGCGCAAAGGTTATTGTGTTTTTGTATCCTACTAATTTTCTGCACATAATTTCATAAATGAACTTTACTTCTTATCGTTCTACGAAACAAAATCATAATTAAACATTGCCGTCTCTTACTTCTTTCATTATAAAACCTAATGATCTTCCCAAATAAATTTTTTACGAAAATTGATTGTTATTGATTTGTGTAATGTGCTTAGTGCTTCTAGTGCCGCGTGAGCACTTGTTCGCTTATCAAACGTATGAAACATCATATTATACATTTTATTTATTTATTATATTTTATAATATTACTGCATTTTGCATCGATCAGAGTTAATTTGTGGTGCCAAGAGTGTGCACAAGTGTGGTCAGATGGTGAAAAACTCTAAGTTATAAATTTGAATAAATGCCTGTACCTAAATAAACTTACTAGCATGACAATTATTAAAATGATAAGTTAGTATAACACTTGTCTTTTCTAAATGTTCATTTCTCTTTATTCCCTCCAAAAATTTTAATGTATGAATTCATGCGTGTTCATTTTTCTAGAGCTAGAAGGCATTTCTAGATTTATTGTGGCTAATTTTACTTCACATCGTACCATTTATTGATCATATTTATTGATCATATTATTGATCATATATCATAATTTATTTATTGATCATAGTATCGGACGACCACAACCTATAATGTGTTAGGCTATCATTAACATTATTGCTATCACGCATTAATTTATGTATAATATATAATTATGATGCAAGTTATTGCGTTGACTAACACGTTGATATTGTAAGTTGTAATTTGTGAATTTTAATTTCTGAATTTAAAAAATCTATAGCGAGCGTGAAATGTAATGGTTGAGCTATATATACTAGCTATCAGGTTTGAATCGCAATGAATCGACACTTGTGTGATGGTGCCAGTTGCGCGAGCTCACGTGAAGTGAGTAAATGAAAATTAAAATGAATATGAATAAGTACTTTTAATCATTGTAATGATGAGTAAATTGAAACTCAAATGAAAATGAATAAGTACTTTTAATCATTGCAGTGGACTGATTAGTTAAAATTATTATTGTTGTTGAATTAGGAGAGGTGCGCAATTGAAGAACAGATGATTATGCCGGGGTTTATCAATAAATATTAATGATACGAATCATTAGTAATTAATCATATTAATGATAGGAATCATTAGTAATTAATCATATTAATGATAAGAATCATTAGTAATTAATCATATTAAAGATAAGCATCATCAGTAATTAATCATATTACTGATGAGAATAGAATAGTTTATTAGTTAAGGGTAAGATTTATACAGCATTGCGCAGGTCGATCATTAATATAGGAATATAAGAAGAATTTGTAAACACTGAAAACAATATACACTTATAAAACAACTACAATTTAAACACTGAAATAAGAACCATTAGTCGATTGATTCACCATCGTGGATTTCATCTATCGTGGCTGAGGTCTGGGCCTATACTTTCAAAAGAAGTTAAGAGATCGTAAGTTCATCAGCCAATCATTGACGGCTTTTCAAGCAAAATCCACCAATCACAGACAAGAAAATAGATCGTAAGTACTTACGTTCACTTAGCCAGTTTTGGAAGTATGGGCCCTGGAACCTACGTAACATCTGCGATAGTGAAGGATAACTGTAGTGCTGTGATCAATTGTCTTAATAAAGTGGTGTTGTGAAATCTTCGATCAAATTGTTATACGATTCTCACATTCCTCCTGCTCAAGACTCACTGCTCACGCATTCCTCCTGCTCAAGACTCACTGCTCACACATTCCTCCTGCTCAAGACTCACTGCTCACACATTCCTCCTGCTCAAGACTCACTGCTCACGCATTCCTCCTGCTCAAGACTCACTGCTCACACATTCCTCCTGCTCAAGACTCACTGCTCACGCATTCCTCCTGCTCAAGACTCACTGCTCACGCATTCCTCCTGCTCAAGACTCACTGCTCACGCATTCCTCCTGCTCAAGACTCACTGCTCACACATTCCTCCTGCTC